CTTTTTGCCATAGCCCTTAAAATTTGATTTACCGGAGATCTCAATTGATTTACCAGAGCTTTTAACTGATTGCTGCTTTTCTACTGGTTTGTATGTAGGAATCTATTATTAATATTGCTAGTTAAAAATCAGTATTATAAAGTAAGATTTTTATTCAGTTAGATATTTAAAATTAATAAACTTTTCAAAGACTTAAGTCAGTTTTAATACATGATTTAGCATGTGTCTCTGACTTTTATTTAGTGCAAAATGTCATTTCTATATGCTGTTAGATCTCTTTCTCTCTCTCTCTGTCTTTTCCTGAAGCCAAGCACAGAATGGAAGTATGTTCTTAAGAGAAAAACAAATCCTGAGGCTGTAATCCTTTATCTTGGAGTTTTAGGTTTAGCAAATTTTGCAACCCTCAGCCTTTCACTTAGTATAGGTATTTTAATTTTTCATTAGATTTGAAATTCCCATTAAATGAAATCAGATAGAGGGTTTTTTGGTTGTTTATATGTACTTTTTTAACCATATTATTTATTGTCTTCTTCCTATTTACAAATAAGTGAATTATATCTATCTATGTATATACTTAGGGATAGTAAACTGAATGAATTAAAACTCAGAAATTGCCTTATTTGGATAGTGTTAAAGTGTATTGAAATGAATTTTTCCCATAGAAAAATATAGCAGTGGTAGGATTCCCATCCTGTATCACTCTCTTAAAAATATTGTTTTTGTATTTTATCAGCTTTTATGGATAACAGCTTAGAAATATTCTAGATAAGTAAATAATGTTTTGTTGTTGGGATGAAATGCTTTGGACCGTTTCCAAGGAAAGAATGCTGCTATTTTTTTCTGCACCATGTATTTTTAAAATGTTTATTCCTTTTCCTACCTTATTATTTAAAATAATGGTAAATCATAAAAAACCACCCTACTAGAGGGCAGATCATAACACTGACTATAACAAAAATGTGGAAATAAAATGTTGTGGTACTGATAACTATAAAGTAGGTTTTACAGTCTCTCTTAAACTCCAGCAAGATCTATATTTTGGTGGACTTCTGCAATCCTAGTAAGAGTTACCCTTCTTGCTTTCTGTGTGGTTTCATATTAAGCAGGGCATCAATGATAATTGAAAGGAGCGAGATGAACAGCTGAGTAATTTGTGTGGGCAAATGTGATTAGAAAGGGGTGTGTGTGTGTGTGTGTGTGTGTGTGTGTGT